ATTAGGTATTATTAGAGAATCGCCATCTTCTATTATCTCTAAGGCCATGAAATTATATTTGTCTTTGACAATTACATACAATTTATCTTCAATTATCAACCGAACAGTCGAACAGATATTAGAACTAGGGAAAAGTAAATTAATTTTCTCTTCTCAGTCCAATAAGTCTTCAATTTCTCTGCTTTTATCTATTTTTACGAGGTATTCTGAACCACTGATTTCCAAACCATCGGAGGTAAATTTCACGCTATCAGGCGAACTCTCTACTTTTACTCCACCCATCACTTTTACCGAACCATTTTCATTCACCTCAGGCAATCAGCCTAGTGATTTATTACTAGAACCAAACCAAGCCAAGGGTTCACCGCAACCGCTTTCGACAGCATTTTTTATTACTTCTAATAATGCTTCCTCGACATCTTTTTTAGTGTATTTAGGTCAGTTTTTATTTTTCTCATCATGTTGACAATTACTAGCTTCTTGTTGGTCGGGACAGTTGGAGCAAAGGCGGGACTTATAATTGACTTTGACCTCCTCTCCTTGACCGCTCTTGCCGTAGGGTAATAAACCTAACACAGAGTAAATTCCATCAATCGGCACGGTACTTCGACGGTTCTGAACCAAATTCAAAGTTTCTCATAAACTTAAACTTATGAAATCCCTTGAATTATATTCCTTATGATAAGTTCAGCCAATCGGAGTAGCAATTTTTTCGCCAGTTCCCGAAAAAATATTGCTGAGAGAATCATAATTATCCTCATAAGAATCTCAAAAACAAGCCAAGGCTCGACCATCCACTAATACATTATCAAACATAAAGATAGTTTGTTGTGGCAATAACCCTTCTTGAAAAGTTCAAGTGCGAGTAAATCATTCGGAGTCAATTATGGTGTCTATCACTTTTAAAGAAGGAGCGGAAGAACTTACTCCATCTACTCATTTACCGAATTTGTTATGAGGTTTTACTCCAATTTTTTTCGCATTTCAAATTTTTCTCAGTTCGTTGAGACTAAGTTTAGAAGGGACTTTTTCCTCATTATATTTATTATTAGTTAATTCCTCATAACTGGGTAAATCAATAAAGTCTTTGTTTTTAATTTCTTTTGAAAAAGAGATAAAAAACTCATGAGCCTTATCAACTTCTCTTTTATCATGAATTAATGGGTCAATATGGTATTTTTTGTCAGCAATAAAGTAATCAAATTGCTTATCAATAATCGAAAAACCACTTAAATCTTCTCAACCATTATTTCAAACTATTTCTGCTTCGATTAAATTAAAACCGCTTTTCTTCCAGAGTTTTTTTTGATTTTCTTCGCTAATATCATGAGCAGTGAAAAAAGGCTGCCACAGTAGACTTTCTTTCTCATCCCGAATTTTTTTGATAGTTTCCAAATTGCGACTAATAGGCACTAGTTGATAGTCAGTAGCATTTTTTAGTTCTTCGTCATCTGGCAATTTAGTAGGTTCAGTTTCCCGCTCTATTCTCTTCAGTATATGGTGAAGTTTGTCAACCTCTATTTTACTATGTTCAAGAATTTTAACTTCCTCGGTAGTAATATTATGCGAAGTATAGGTAAAATTTTTTTCGTTTTTGTTTCAATTTTTAATTTGTCCTATCTCATTTTCAGGACTGTCAACGGTTAAATCATGTCAGTGATACTTATCATAAGCTAACGGAGCTTCTTTTAATGGGTTTAAGCCACTATTTCGCCAAGCGACCCGTTGCTTGCCAAGAGGAATGTTCCTTTTTTCGGCGAACTCAGTTCAAACTTTAATTCAGTGAATAGTATCCAAAACTGATTTAGGTTGAGTTAGCGGGTTTACTTCCGGAGTAGTTTGTTGCCAAGAAGTATAAGTAAAAGTTTTTTGTTTAACATTTAGAGAGATTTTGCCAGTCTTATCATCAGGACTATCAATTGCTAAATCAGTTCAACCATTATTATAGGCTCTTTCGGCCTCTGGGATATTTAAACCGGTTGATTTTCAGAGTTTTTGAGCTTTTTCATCTTCAATACCGTGGGCTTGGAAAAAAGGATTTCATATTTCTTGTTCTTTATCATCCCGAATTTTTTGTAAATTTGCTAAATTGAACTCTAATTTTTCTCCGATGGAATTTAGACCTAAGATGTGAGCGGGTATGGCTTGACAACTAGCAATTTCTTTCAAAAATTCATCAGTAGGTAAATTAGTGGGGTCAGCTTCGAGAGCAATCTCAGTCAATAATTTATGAATTTGGTCGATTTGTTTTTTATCGTGTTGGAGTATGTTTACTACTTTGGTTTCGTGGTTATAAGAAGTATAAGTGAAAGTTTTATTTTCTTTGTTTCAGTCTTTAATCTGCCCTTGTTCATCACTGGGACTATCAATGGTTAAGTCATGTCAGTTTCTTTGGTCATAAGCCGTAGAAGCCTCTTCAAAAGGGTTTAAACCACTTTTCTTTCAAGCCGTTTGCTGAGTTTTATCAGAAATATTTCTGGGTTTGAAGAATTCTTCTCATGCTAAATTTAAATGATTAGCATCAAGTTCAGTTTTAGTTTGAATTAAAGGGTTAATTTGAAAACTGGTTTGTTTTCAAGAGGAATAGTCAAAAACTTTGTTGCCTAAATTAGAGATTTTGCCAATATTATCATCTAAACTATCTATGGTTAAATCTATTCAACCATTATTATAAGTAATTTCCGCTTCCAAAGGATTTAGACCAGTTGATTTTCAAATTTCTTGAATCTTTCCATCAATTAAATGGTGGGTAACAAAGAAAGGATTTCACAGTTCTTTTTCTCTATTTTGCCAAACCTTTTGAATTACTATTAATTTTATGCTATCCGGTACTGAATTATAATTAACTAGATAATTTAAAGTCTGATATTCTGGTAATTTGGTTGGGTCGGTGGTTTGCGAGATATCTACCAATAATTTGTGAACCTTGTCTATTTCTGACTTATCGTGTTTTAAGAAGTTAACTTGTTTGGTTTCATAACCGCAAGAGGTATAGGTGAAGGTTTTTTTGTTTTTTTGCCAGTCTTTAATTTGTCCTACTTCGCTAGCAGGGTCATTGATAGTCAAATCCTTTCAGTTATTTTCTCAAACTTCATCGGCTTGGCTGGCTCTTCTTCCTTCCGCTGACCAAGTTGGGTTAAATCCACTTTCTTTTCAGACTTGTTGTTGAGAAAGGTCAGCGATTTTATGCAGAGAGAAGAAAGCATCTCAGGCTTTTTTGGAGTTGGTTTCAGTGGGATTTTCTCTTCAGTATGTCTTTTTCACTTCTTTAATTACTTTTTTAGTAGATTTTTCTACGACAATTTTTGAACTTGACTTTAATATCTCCTCTTCCAATTTTTCATCACTTATTTGTGTACTAAGGTATTTTTTTGCTTTTTCATACTTATCCTTTCATTCGCTTTCATGCGATGAAGCATTATTTTTTAAATATGAAATATTAATAGCGGCTGTTTCTCAAACTGATGAAGTGGTTTTTTTTAATTTCTCAACTGAAGCATAAGTATTTACACTAGTAACTAAGGTTTCACTACTTATAACATCTTGGTTTTGACTAGACAACACCTTTTTAAATTCCTCCTTATCAATTCCCCGAGCAACATCCAAAAAACTACCACGCCACTCATCAAACAATTTCCTCTCCATATCTGCCTGAACTGCTATTAAAGTCACGGTGCTGTTATCATAATAATTCCGCATTTTCCTTACTTCTTGACCTTTCTCTTCCTTATCAGCTTGGTTAACACATAATTTATCCATTCATAAGTATTCTATTCCTAATAAATTACAAACTTCAATGGCTTTTAGTAAAGCCTTGTTACCGCTCGGAGTTAAATTAGAATTAAACTCAGATTTAGGTTGTAACGACTGATTCCACTGAATATATTTTTTAAATTCCTCTTGTTCTGTCTCACTAAGAGAAATCTTACCTCAAACATAAGAGAGAGTAGCATAAGATTTAATTCCCTTAGCGATAAATTGCTTTTTACTCTCTACTTCATTAGTTTTGATATTATAAAGTCGGAGTGGTAATTTAAATTCGACTAGAGTTTTATTAATATTTCATGGTAATTCTGGATATATTTTGTCATATCTTATTTCCTTTTTGTTGTAGTAAGACCCCATTGGGTTAATAGTCTCAGAATCGGCTTTTGAAACTTTGGTTTTTTTAACCTCTGAATCATCAATTCTTATGTTAATAAGTTTAATTCCTTCTAATTTTGATTTTGGTTTTAATGGTTTATTTTTATTGGTTACTCTCATGCTTTTATTTTATAAATTAGTATAATCTATTTTAATTGTTTCCTTCTGCCACAACAAAATATTCTAACTAATCAGATAAGGAAAGGGAACGATTTTTGATTATTTTCAGGAATAAACTGACTGAGTAATGGTAGAAGAGCTGGCTATTTCTTGTTCCTCAACTTCTAACTGTTCATAACTAACTAACTCAATTGCCTCATGATTTTTTTGATTATCGCTACCTAGATTTTCTTCATGAGAGATAGTTTTATCTTTCAATCTTTCGCTATTCAAATACTCCGCCACCTCCTCTAAACTAGTAAATACTTGCCCACCATTCTCTTTGACCATGCGAGCAATGGCTTGTAAAGATTTTAGTTGGTGTTTTTGGAAGCCTGTTTCTAGATAGCAGAAAATAGTTTTATGAGGTCTTTTATTACTATCATCCACTACTTCGGCAATGGCGTAGAAGCCTAACATTTCTTGGGTAATAGTGTAAAGAACATAATCACAAGTTTGTCTTTGGCGGA